TTAAAGGGATTTCTAGCAGGGGAAAGAAAATGTACAGGGCATTTAGGAACCCTACATATGCTTGACTGGTGGAATTGTGGTGCGCCCTGAGCACTCTGGCTGTCTCTGGGCTGTGGGCCATCTCCTCCTTCACACACTCCCACTCCTGCAGGGAGTCAAAGACACAGAGTGACCAGGAGCCACGCTCTGCTGTTTCCACCATTTCTAGATGTGTGGTGTGATCTTTCAAGTTACTTAGCATCTTTGAGTCTTGCTTTCATACACTGTAAAATGAGGCAATAGTGCTGTACTGTTAAATGAATTACCATATGTAAGGTACAGAACATGGCTCAGAAGAAGGGCTCAACCACTGTGACTATTGTACCCTGGGGGAATAATGCAATATATGTTAAGAAAAAAAAAAGAAGAAGAAGAAGGTAGCGGGAGGGGAAGAATGAAGCGGGGGAAATCGGAGGGGTAGATGAACCATGAGAGACGATGGACTCTGAAAAACAAACTGAGGGTTCTAGAGGGGAGGGGGGTGGGAGGATGGGTTAGCCTGGCGGTGGGTATTGAGGAGGGCACATTCTGCATGGAGCACTGGGTGTTATGCGCAAACAATGAATCATGGAACACTTCATCTAAAACTAATGATGTAATGTATGGGGATTAACATAAGAATAAAAAAAAAAAATGTGACCCTGGGAACACCATGGCCCTGGACAAACAGAGCCAGAGAGTGACTCAATCCGCTTGTTTCCTGCACAGCTGTGAGCTGGGACTCTGCCTTCTCTTCTCCCTTCCTCTACCACCCAGCACCACCCCCCCACCCCGCCCCCAGCAGCTAAGCCTGCTGCTGCAGGTTCTGCCCCCAACCCCAAGCTCTCAGCACACATAAGGGCAATGAGCTTACCCCCAAGCAGAACTGGAGGGGAGAAAGTTATTATGGACTAAATGTTGTCCATTCTCTCCCGAATTCATATATTGAAGCCCTAATTCCCAAAGTGATGGTGTTTGGAGATGGGGCCTTTTGGAGGCAGTTGGATTTAAATGGAAATGGGAGGTGGGGGTGGGTGAGATGGGTGAAGGGGGTTAAGAGGTACAAACTTCCAGTTATAAAATAAATAAGTCTTTTGCCATTTGCAACGACATGGGTGGAGGTAGAGGGTATTATGCTAAGTGAAAGAAGTCAGGCAGAGAAAGACAAATACCATATGATGTCATTCATATGTGGAATTTAAGAAATAATACAGATGAACATATGAGAGGGGGGAAAAAGGAGACAGGGAAACAAATCATAAGAGACTCATAACTACAGAGAACAAACTGAGGGTTGATCAGGGAGGTGGGGGGGAAGGGCTAAATGGGTGATGGGTATTAAGGAGGGCACTTGTTATGAGCACAGAGTATTATATGTAAGTGATGAATCACTAAATTCTACTCCAGAAACCAATATTGCACCATATGTTAACTAACTAGAATTTAAATAATAAATAAATAAATAAGTCATGGGAATTTAATATATAACATGGTAACTTGTTAATAATGCAATACAATATACAATAGTATATTTGAAAGTTACTAAAGAGTAGATCTTAAAAGTTCTCATCACAAGAAAAAAATTGTAACTCTGTGAGGTGATGGATATGAATTAGATTTATTGTGGTGATCATTTTGCAATGTATACATATATCAAATCATTATTTTGTACACCTGAAACTAATACAATGTCCTATACCAATTATATCTCAATCTAAAAAAAACACAAAACATTATGAGTTGTGTCTGTGAGAGTGTTTCTGGATGAGACAAATTAAATAATTTAATTAAATTAATAAAATAAAATAAATGGAACATCATGACCCTTCAAATTGATTTCAGAACTGAATGGTATTGTTGAAATGTTTTACAAGTGTCAGTCTAAATTCACGCCTGGGTGCCTCAGTCGTTAAGCATCTGCCTTCAGCTCAGGTCCTGATCCCACGGTCTTGGGAGGTCTTGGGATCAAGCCCTGCATCAGGCTCCCTGCTCAGCGGGGAGCCTGTGTCTCCCTCTGTCTGCTGTACCCCCTACTTGTGCACTCTCTCTCTCTGTCAGATAAATAAATAATATCTTTTAAAATAAATAAATGAATAAACAAATAATTTTGTCCAAGAGACAATAAACAAATTATGTAGTTTTCACCTTTGTATATCAATTTTAAGTATAATATACCTGCATGCTACATGATGAGAGAGAGGGGCAGTGGGTGAGAGACTCTCCTCCTTTGCCTCCAGTTCTCTGTGGACCAGGGGATGATTTCTGGAGCTCTGGGCACATACAGCAGAATTCAGTGGGCACTTCCCACACATGTGTACACATGTGTATGTTGCATCACCCATATACAGACTGAGGGATTAAAGGAAGGCATAGGCTATGAGGTGTAAGCTCCATATAATCACCTCCACAGCGGTTCCACAAATGCACAAACACACCCTCACACAGACAGATGGCTGCGTGTACCTGCCATCTCTCTATTCAACACAAAATAGATGCTAATTACCTCCAGTAATGTCGATTACATCCACACCAAGCACGCAATGCTACCCTTGCTCACCCCAGAGATCTATGTAATCACCCACCACACCCTCTCCTCGCCACCCACATTTAGCCAAACCAAGCTGCTGATCAAGAACCAGAGGTACTCTGGTGACCTGGGCCTGAGGATGGAGCTCTGAGATGGGGAAGGAGGACCTTGCATGCTGAATTCCTTGTGTTCTGCGAATTCCAGGAAGGTACTAGAAGCCTGGCTGGAGATGGAGCAATTACAGTACAACCTCCTTCTGGAGGAGAGTCCCTGTGCTCTGCAGGTATTCAGGCATATTTCAGAGTAACTAAATGAAGAGGTTTGAATGAGGACCGATCGAGTGGTTGGGTTGTTATTAAGTACAGCTATTTACTTATGCAAATAGGCAGGTTTTTTTTTTTTAAGATTTTATTTATTTTTATTTGACAGAGAGAGAGAGAGTGAGAGAGAGAGCACAAGCAGGGGGTGCAGCAGGCAGAGGGAGAGGGAGAAGCAGGCTCTCTGCCGAGCAGGGAGCCCGATGTGGGGCTCGATCTCAGGACGCTGGGATCATGACCTGAGCCGAAGGCAGACGCTTACAGACTGAGCCACCCAGGCGCCCCCCATTTTACATTCTGACCAGCAATGAATAAATGACCCAGTTTCTCTTTATCCTCACTAGCATTTGGTGTTATCACTACTTTTTATTTTAGCCATTCTGCAAAGAGAGTGGGGGTATCTCGTTGTGATTTTAATTTGTACTTCAATAAAATAAACATTAATGTCTTTTCATGTCTTTGGCTTATTTTTTTCAATTGGATTGTTTTACTTTTTTACCATTGTTTTGAGAGTTCTCTGTGTATCCTATGTATGAGTCCTTTGTCTGATATGTGGTTTACAAATATTTTTTTCTATGTATTCCTTGTCTTATCATCCTCTTAACAAGGTCTTCTGCAGAATAAATTTAATTTTTACAAGGTCTGATTTAATAATGTTTTATGGATTATACTTTTGTTGTTATCTAAGAACTCTTCACTAAGCCCTAAGTCCTGAGGATTTTCTTTTATATTTTCTCCTAAAAATTTTATAGTTTTATATGTAATATTTAAAGCTGTGATTGATTTTGAGCTGATTTTTGTGTAAAATGTAAGCAGTTTTTCAAATAAAGTGTATTCATCTACTAATAAATTTTATATACCCATGGTAGAAAAATTAGCATATGCATAACATTACAACAAAGAAAATTAAGAATTTTCATAATCCTACTACTTACAGAAAATCATAAAAAATCATAAAAGTTACATTTAGATGTTTGTCCTTTCAACTTTCTTTTTCCTTTGTTCTTATATATGTTTGGATCCCTTCCAGTTCCTTTTGAAGATGAGGGAAGTTTTCAAAATTAAACTTAGAGGTTAGATAGAATTTCATTCTCTTTCTTCTTCATCCTTTAACCAGTTTTACTAGTTAGAAAACTAAGTTTTAGAGAGGATAAGCAACTTGCTTTCAGTTGGAAAGGCACAGTCAGGACTTAACACATCTCAAGCTGACCACTTACCTAGCCATCCATCATTCATTGTGCCTTGCTCCATAGTGGGCTAAATTACAACAAACAAAAAACAACAAAAGCAATTGCTAGAACACAGTAGAGCAGAAGTAAAATTCTTTGTGCAAGATTTGGAGCTGTCTGGGAAACAAGGTTCTGAATAATAAGGAAATAGAGTGTACCCTAGGGCAGCCCTGGCCTGGAGGTCTAGAAAACGTGTCCAAAGAGAAATTAATACTTTGAAAAAAAATAAATTAGGCATAGAGGCTCAGAACATTATACAAATGTTAAGAAGACAGAATTTAAATGTGATTTAACTGTTTTTATTATTACAATATATTATTTTCCACAGGCATGACAATAGAAAGTGAAAATTCCTAGAATAAAGAACTTTAAAAAGAAGCTATAAAAGATACTTTGGGAACAATTGGGAGAAATTTGAATGTGAACTGGCATATGATGATATGTTAATGTTGAACAGTGTAATGATGTCTGCAACTTTCACATGGGTGGCAAGCTGGGGATGCAAGAAAGAGGAAGAGAGAAATGCAGCAAAATATTAACCAAGGTCGTATCTAGGTAGAGAGAACACCTGCCTGCATCCTGGGTATACGACAATGCCAGACACACAGCCAGCGCTTATTAATCGTATAGTACCGTTCACTTAGTTACCTTCTGCAAAAACAGAAACTTACCAGATACAGTTTGAGGTTTTGTAGCGGAAAGAAAAAGCTCATTCCCTGACCGGGAATCGAACCCGGGCCGCGGCGGTGAGAGCGCCGAATCCTAACCACTAGACCACCAGGGACGACATGGTGTTGGTTCTTCTAGTAAGCTAGACAAAATATGTGGTGTATGACACAAATTGGGAGCGCGAACGCGATTGGCTACATTTTAGCTGCCTAAACCGCCTCTGCCACTGCAGATCCGGAAAGAGAGGTAATGGAGGACTGCGGCGACGTTGAAGTCTGAGAATGGCTGCCTTCTCAGAAAAAAAAGGAACCGCCAGCAGCCACTGGATGGCTTTGGGATCCTTTAGGGGAAGGAAAAAAAAAAGGTGTGTGTCAGAAGTGGGATTCGAACCCACGCCTCTATTCAGAGACCAGAACACCCGCAGGGAAGGTGAGCACCTTGAGTCTGGCGCCTTAGACCACTCGGCCATCCTGACACCCGGCAGGGCAGGCGGCTGTGCAGAACCCGCTTCCTGTGGGGCTCGCCGCGCCGCC